AAACCACACATATCTGCAGCTAAAATTGATCTCAACATCATTGCGCCTTACCGACTTCTGTCCTCACCACCATGGCAAATGGTGAAACCACAGGTCGATCTTACCCTCACCAAACTCAAAAAAGTCTGAAACAAATCCTTTGGTGTTCCAACAGGAATACAACCAGTTACGTTCGAAGTATAACACTCACAGATCCATCTTCACAGACGGATCCAAGGACGATGGCCAAGTTGCCAGCGCTACAGTCATTGGAGCCAAGACTGTCTCCTCTAGGATCCCCGACAACAGTTCCATTTTCACCGCTGAAGCCAAAGCTATCTTCTCAGCTCTGACCTACATTCAACAGCAAAATCAGTCCAAAAACTTCATCGTATTTACAGATTCATTATCCTGCCTTCAAGCACTTCTAAACGTGACTTCAAGTCACCCAATCATCCTGGACATATTAGAACTGTACAACGACCTTTCTACTAGCCAATATGACATCATCCTCTGCTGGTTGCCGGGTCACGTCGGCATAGCAGGTAACACTAAGGCCGATGCTGCAGCAAAAGCAGCTCTTGAAAAGCCCCTATCTCCACTGCTAATCCCGTACAGTGATTTCAAACCCACTATCAAAAGCTATACTCGGGACTTGATGCCAAAAAAGGTCGGACACCCAAGTAGGAAGAAACAAACTCCATGAATTGAAGCCAACAGTCGGTTATACCTGCTTGGGTTGCCAGTCAAGACGTGATGAAGTAATTTTACGACGATGTCGTATTGGCCATAGTCGGTTTACACATGACTATCTGCTAAAACAGATGGGAATGGATCCCCCATATGTCTCTCCTGCGATGAGGCTCTCACCGTCAAGCATATTCTGCTTGACTGTGTGGATTTTACATCTGCAAGGGACTCGCATTATCACGCAACCAATCTGAAAGATCTGTTCTCCAGCGTGAGCGCTCATCTGATACTAAACTACCTGAGGGAAGTCGATCTATATCATAAAATGTAACTGTGTAATGTCAATAACGAATGTATCTGCTTTTCAATCTAGTGCTATGACATTCTCTGTTCTAAAATGACAACGTAATGAATGTATGTCTTTGAAACGAAACCACTTTGTACTTACAATGTATATTAATGCAGACTTGTTCTCGTCACTATATGGCTGGAATAATGCCGATGTGACGTAAAGCCCAACTCAACTCAACTCACAAGCACGATAAATATGCCACGATTAACAGCTGAAGAGAGAGTAAGAGCCATTGGGATGTTGCAAAATGGGGTCGACATACAATGATGTTGCCAACGCCCTCAGATGCCACCGTATCACGGTTATAAGACTTATTCAGCGCTACAGACAGACTGGGGTCACCATAGACAGACCAAGAACTTGACGTCCACGCTACACATTGCAGCAGAAAGTTTCATCCTCACTTGAGTAGAGTTTTAGAAATTCACTAAGGAAGAAGGATAACGTTCCTTTTGGCGTTATGTGTATGTGGAACATGAAACGCTTTCATTCATATGTAATGGAAGTCAACGTCCTCTCCCAAGTAATATAGCCGAGAGCCTCCTACGTACCACCCAGGGTTTATGCGCAGATGTTTGATATTTCATAAAAAATCAACGAGAGGGAAAGGGTTATAACTTATTACAGAAAGAAAACATTCTGAAACAACAACAGTTTTTTACGTTTCAGCCATGCTTTCCTTGAACCCAATAACACGGACGTAAAATATCTCTTGTTTAGTTACATGCCCGCTGACTTGAAAACTGGATTCTTTAAAGCAATGCGACGTAGTGGCATTAGCCTCAGGGGCTTCTGGCTCACAAATACCAATGTTGCTGAGTTGGATACATTTTAAATATGGCCATTTGAATGAGTGAGTGAGTGAGTGAGTTTAGTTTTACGCCACACTCAATATTCCAGCTATATGGCGGCGGTCTGTAAATAATCGAGTCTGGACCAGACAATCCAGTGATCAACAGCATGCGCATCGATCTGCGCAATTGGGAACCGATGGCATGTGTCAACCAAGCCAGCGAGCCTGACCTACCGATCCCGTTAGTCGCCTCTTACGACAAGCATGGGCTACTGAAGATCAATATTCCAACCCGGACCTTCACGGGTCTGGCCATTTGAAATTGTGCAAGTGATATCGGCAGTATTTATGAAAGTATATTTAAAACATTATTGATAAAAGGGACATTAAATGACCTTAAACGGGATGACGTTTATAAACATCCACATAAGAAACTAACTAACCCACGCGTGGCTCACTTCCCGATAATAAACAGGACCGTGTGTTTTTATTGTATATTTATGAAGGACGTGGTTTGTATGACGGTAAAACATGTTTCTATCATGTTCTATCCTTTCTGGAAATTTGAACACACGCTCGCGACTTGATGGCGTCGTAAGCAGCAATGGGTCTAGTAAGTCGTTTCCCATAGATGTATCTGGGCAAACGGTATTTGACGAAATGATACAGCTTATCAACGAGAGAAAGGGACAATATGCTGGAAGTACCAAACAACCTTCCTCCTCCACGTTCAGAAAATGAACAATATGGCTGTTTAGTAGGTTATCAATATCTAAAAACGGGTAAACATTTTTAAGGCTTGTAAATTTTATCAACTACCCCATGGGAGCTGTAAATGATGTTTAGTGTAGCCCTGAACCTTCTCCTGCTGTGTTTTATTGCACGATAAGGAGACCACGAATAGCGCCACGAGTCGCATATTTCTTCTATGAGACAGTATTTACAATCCTCTTTGAGGAGGTTAATAAAAATAACAAATATTGATCGTATTTGAAAAATAATGATATTTCTAATCATCCGATATTATAATTAGATTTATTACATTTTACTGCTGCCGCAGAAACCTCCTACAACTCTTCGTGAACATGAACATTTCCTTTCAAACCGTTATCTCCAAATCTTGATACAGATATACCGAGTTCGGGAATTCAGACAGTAAATGATCTTGTATGTTATTCTCGAACGGTCCTCAGTAAACAGTCTGAGTGCAAACAGTAGAAGATATCAAGAGAAATATTTAACTATAAACCTGCAGGGTTAATTATCAATTTGACATATTTACTAAAAAAGGCTATAACCGATTCACATCGCTACCTCGAATGACGGCTGAATAGATATATCAACGAACAATCAAAGCAATGATTTCGATTGCAAGAGACCAACCATTTATTGCACAAGAGATTATGACGAAGAAATGGCAACGCTACTAGTATTTTGAGAAATGGAAACTTGTCTGAGGACAACCTGTAAAGAGGTGTAGGGGATGGTAGGACATACTGGATATATGGTGAATGAAGATTTCATTTGTATATTTGTATAATTGAATACACATACATTCACCGGGGCTTGTAACGCACAAATCTGGCATCAAGGTATATATTGTCACTGATTGAGCCTTAGTACTATATAGAAGAAAAAGGATGTACATCAAGTTCGATATCGTCAAATATCAAAGTGTGAAACACGACTCCTATTTTACTTAACATGTTACTCGTTATGTTGGTACTATAAAACTGCATTTTCATTAATCACTGAAGTGAATAAATTGGGTACATACGGTAATTCAACACGGTCTCTGAAACTCAAGCAGTTGGTGGATATATACGCGATAAAGAACTGATAGCAGTGTAAAACAACATGACACCTCTTCTATAGTATTATTATCCAAACTTTATTACCCTCATAAAAACACCGTCCTAAACTTGTGTAAGTTATCTCAGGATTGCTGTGTAGTCTTATTTTTTACGGTTATTTTGGGAGAGGTCTATATATAGGTTTATATGTGCCCGCTGACCAATCCCATGCCTCTATGAAATGATGTTTAAACACCAAGGCTGCTTTTTTGAGTCAAGGAGGGTTCTTGTGAAAACGGCTACCACCTATGGAGAAAACGGAAAGAAAATAACAAAATTGTCTTGTATCATTCAGTTTAAATTTAATTCAACAGTTGAAATGTGTAACTTACATGACGGACAAAGTAGCACTTCTAAGCATGGTTTCTTTAACAACTATATAATACTGAGGGAAACAAATAAGGGAACACCACTTCATGGCAGTGTTCCTTTATTTATTCTCAGATTTCCACATACAGCTCTATTCAAAGCTGGTGATGAAAGTTGGAAAATATTAAAGGAACGCTTGAATTTTCATGTGTTCCTTTATTTGTTGCTCTTAGTATACGGCGACGTTTGGCTACATACGTATAGCTTGATAACCGTATACGGATCGACACCGAAACGTCGCCACATATAGTTATGATAGGCTGACTGACTGACTGAGTTTGGTTTTAAGCCGCTCTTAGCAATATTCCAGCAATATCACGGCGGGGGACACCAGAAATGGGCTTCACTCATTGTACTCATGTGGGGATTCGAACCCGGGTCTTCGGCGTGACGAGCCAACGCTTTAACCACTAGACTACCCCACCGCCCCAGTTATGATAGGAGTTGTAATCCATACAATTCCTACTTTGTCATTACTTTGTCAACTTCTAAATCAACTCATATGACCATCAATAATTTAATTCGGGCCATCCCAAAAGATGAAACGCTCAGTGTGTCAGTGGGGTATCTGTATCAAACTGCGGTATGATATCTCAGAGGGGTAGACCAATATTCGGCATACGCCCCCCTCTCTCTCTCTCTCTCTCTCTCTCTCTCTCAGGAATGATATTTGATATTCATCAAACCGATGTCTACATGTTACCAAGGAGCGTAATGACAGTGCCGTCACAGACTACATTGTATTGTAATGAGCTATCATTAGAACTCTGGCACGTATGGGCACTGGACTGCTTTGACTGGGATCCCGTCCTGCTGCATGGCAACATATGACCAATCCTCAAACACGTTCCTCTCACTAATTGTGACGGTGTCAAGTTTCGCGCTATCTCATGTCAATTTCACTTGATAAGTACGACTTTGCAACACATTGTTTACCATTCATGGACGGAACCGCCCTCGGAGTATTATCTGTCTCAGATTTCACAGCCAAACATATCCATTTCAGCCACTCATGTCCAGTGTTTTAGTGAGATACATGTCGTGGTGCCATGGCGCTGTTGGTGTTCCTCCTCGCCTTGTCTTTGGTAAATGGGGACTATAACGTCAGTCTTGAGGAGGTTTCTTCCGTGTTTTTACCGACAACTGGACGAGTGTGGGATTACAAAGTCGTCCAACGTGCGTCCTATGACGCCGACAACAAGATCCTATACGTTGTTGGTAAGTCGGCGGGGCGGGGACGGGGTGGTTTTGGCAACGTGATCAAAGTTTTCGATCAAACCTAAGAGTGTTTTTGTTACATATATGTGCACAACACGCTTAGAATCCCCCGTCGTGTATTTGTGTCTTTCTTTAAACTCAAAAGTTACCAAAAAAACTCTCTCTTTCACTGCTGAGCGATTCGTTTTATTACAAACAGCCAAATTATGTATAAGTAATACTGTATACTTATTGGTAAATCAGAATTTTAGATTTTTGTCAAGTGAACAGTATTGACAGCGTCAAGTGTCCTTTAACGAGGCCTGTATGAAGATCACCGTGACCTCACTCCACGCTCCACATATCAGTTTCACAAAAACGCTTGGCAATACTATTCGCCTGATTTAGCTTTCAGCGCATGGTATGATGGGGTCTGTTGTAGTGACATCCACCAAAGTAGAAGGTCTCTTTGTTTCTGAATGTACTACTCGAAGGAACTGTTTCATTTGCATTCAAGAAGCTAGAGAGTAACAAGAACCATTGGATCTTTCATGGATGGCTAATTTCTTTAGTATATTATGATGTGCCGTTTCGGTATAGCCTGTCACTTCTGCATGACAATGGTATAGGAATTTGTACCGAAACGTCATCTTACCGTTCCTGTTACCTCACAAGAAGTTCAAGAACACATTAATATTTCATACATTTATTATTCATGTGTCATGTATTGACAGATTAGCTACAGTAATATCGTGGAATCACAGATTCGCCATAGTATTAACTCCAATTGCTAGATAGGCACTGTAATCAAATCATTACAGAAATGGACATAATAAGCTAATCAAAAACATTTTTTGTGTACGATATCTTGACACATAAATGAATAACTCAGCACAATTTCAAGACATTACGTGACCATTTGCAGTCCATTCAGTATCTAGTGTGACCACCACGAGCGGCAATAACTGCAGCATAGCGTCTATGCATTGAGTGCACCAATCGATTGATGAAGGCCATTGGCACCTGGAACCACGCACACTCTGAGAAAGGCCTGGCACAATAAATCGGCTGTGTTCGGCCTTGGTATGACATTATTCAGTCTCCTCTGAATTTCATCCCAAAGATGTTCAATTGGGTTTAAATCAGGACTAAGGGCTGGCCACTGCATAATGTTGACGCCGTTCTGCTGTAGGAAGTTCCGTGTAGCTCAGTATGGGCCCGGGCGTTATCATGCTGGAAAATGTTGTTCCGGTGACGTTCGAAATGTGGTATGACGTGGGGTCTGAGTGCATGGTCGATGTAGCGCACCGCTGTGATGCCGCCTCCACTCCCTGGAACACCACAGGACCCACTCTCTGGTTCAGGCCGATCATTTGCGGTGTCGGTGGCCCGGAAACGTTGCTGCAGCCTGTAGATGGTCCGGACGTTGACCTGGAAGTGGTTGGCAACGGCTTGTGCAGAGTGGCCAGCTTCAAGTCTTCCTAGCGCCTGGTTCCCCTAAGCTGTCTTGAATCGCGGCATCCTGCGGACGTTGTAATGTGAATGTTTCAACCAGGTTTGGGTGCATTTTATAGGGCTGGTCCTTGTGAACAGCACGTGCAGCATGAGTTGCATGAAAAACATGGAGAACACCGTACCATCTCCGAGATCAGGTTGCGTTTTTGAGTCCATTTCCTGGGTTCAAGTCTGAGTTGGGGAAGGAATGTCTTTGCTCAGGTAAAGATGGAGATGTTGTCAAAAATATACAATCAAAACATTAAATGAGTTTACAGTTATCCGTTTCTGCGAAGGAAAATTCCAAACTGACGTTTCTTTTGCTGCTGAGTATATATCATTAATTGACGGAATAACTGCAGCAATATGCAGAGAAAGATCTAAAACTACTGATCGGTAATTTCCGAGAATAGGGTATTCTCTAGGTTCCTTTGAGAAGGTACAGCTATAGCCCAAGCATGTCTTCATGTCCGCTGATAGCACAATAGCAGTTGGCGTTGGCCATTCGGCTGGGTGTATATGACCCTGACAATGGCATAAAACTAGACTCACTGACCAATTGACCTTCACTGCAGGGGGACTTAGCAGGTTCGTGATTGATATGAAGACCCCCTCGAACCTCGCCCCGGTCCGTGCTGACACCTCTCAGCAAGGTAACGTGGAGTACACCGACATCTCCTGCTGCGGCAACTACTTCATCCAGACTACTCACGACATCGCTTTTCCACCCAACGGAACGGTCAAGATATTCAAGAAGTTCGATGCCAGTAGACCAACGGAAGAGATCTACTCTGCCCAAGGTAAAGGGAAATAATAATCTGAGGGCTGTGGAGGGTGGGGATGTTTTGTGGGGATATTTGTAGTTTATAATTTGCGAAAGTCTGTTCGGTGTCACAGCTTAAAAACTGTTTATATTAATCTTTGAAAAATGGAGCCGAAATGCTTTCCTGATTTCTCCCAGGACTATTAATGGTATGTCTAAGTGGTTATGTCTTTATGGATACTTGACACCAAACCAATACTTGTTCACCTACAGTTGGCGAGAACCCGAGTAGTGTGAAGTTTCTGCCTGGGTGTCGGACAGCCATTGTCACTGTGAAAGGAAGTGCTTACAAATCCGGAAGTGATTTCATTGACCCTAAGGGCAAGGTCCTTCTTGTCCGACTTCCGGGTGCCAGGTACCCTGGGAGCTTCGCCAGCAACGTTGACATCACAGCGTTGGATTTCACAAAGTTTGATGACCGGTTAGTGATTGTACGTTTCCCACTTCAGAATACCATGGTCTGGTCATTGAAATGAAATTGTTTGCCTTTTAAGTGTCAAACACCCCACCTTATGTGTAGGTGGGTTATTTCCACGAGAAAGTTTCCAATGAAGCCTCGGTATACAGCAATAGTGAGGTAATATGGTTTTACGCCGCTTTTAGCAATATTACAGCAATATCACTGCAAGCGACACCGGAATGGGCTTTCCACATTGTACACATGTAGGGAATCGAACCCGGGTCTGCGGCGTGATTAACGAACGCTTTAACAACTAGGCTACCCCGCCGCCCCGTACACAGCAATACAGAAAGGACAAGGTATGATAAGGGTGGTTTTTGGCCCACAAACAGAATTGGCTGAACACATGTTATTTGTTTAGACAAGATGGCTTTGCATAAAAAAGCTATTTTTTAAATGATCTGAGGCCATAATTTCAATGCAAAGGGGCCAAAAATGGGTTTTATCAGTTCCCATGAAAAAATAACAAGAAATCTGAAATATCAGTGTGCCATAATGACTTATATACAACTATCAGTTTATCTACATACAAACAGTATCAGTTTTGCAACAGGTATTCATGATGAAGAAACATGTCAACATCAATCATAAGGTTTTAACTTCAAGGGGCCAAATTAGGGTTGCAATCCATTGTGGACAGTAATTCAATTACTTGCCAATCGATTACAAAAAAGCTCATTATTCACAACTTTCTTTGCAAACATACACTATAGGTCAATTTTACAACATGTACTTATGATAACCAATCATGTCCCACAAAATATCACAGGGGGCCCATTTTAGGTCTAATTACATTTTGGGCACAGCTTGATTTTAACAAGTAAGTGTTAAAAGTCAGTATTCACAACCGTTTTTAGCAAATATACAGTAAACATCTCATTCACAACATGTTATTACAATAACCAATCATGTTGCACTAAAAATCACAGGTCTTGACCTCAAAGGGGCCTATTTCAGGTGATATTACATTCTTGGCACAGCTTTTTTTAACACCATGTAAGTGTTAAAAGTCAGTATTTACAACATTCTTGCAAATATATACAGTAAACATCTCATTCACAACATGTTATTACAATAACCAACCATGCTTCCCTAAATATCACAGGTCTTGACCTCAAAGGGGGCCATTTTGGGTGAAATTACGTTCTTGGCACAGCTTGATTTTAACACCATGTAAGTGTTAAAAGTCAGTATTTACAACATTCTTGCAAATATATACAGTAAACATCTCATTCTCAACATGTTGTTATAATAACCAATCATGTTGCACTAAAAAGTACAGGTCTTGACCTCAAAGGGGCCTATTTCAGGTGAAATTACATTCTTGGCACAGCTTGATTTTGACACCAAGTAAGTGTTAAAAGTCAGTATTCAAAAATCTTCAAAAAGTAATTATTCACAACTCATTCACTGCAAAGATATATAAAACATCCACTTTCACTCTTCATCCACATGGTCATCAATCTCTGAATCAGTTTCTGAATCACTGTCAAGAACTGCAGCATTCAACCGTGTATCACTAGAGTTGCTGGAAACTGGCATATTGTTTTGGTGTCTGCCATACCCAGATCTTCTCTCAACTGAAAAACAGATGACTTTATATCAAAAGAAAATTCTGTTTTAAAACTTTGATATTATAAATCTATTCAAGGGTAACATTACTTATTTATTTTCAAATGTCAGTAGTCTGGCCTTGAAGGCTTATGCAGATTTAATCACCACTGAGACATCAGTATTTCTGAAATTCTGTCACATTAAATTAGAAAATTGAAGAAAAAATATTGGTTATTTTTTAGCACTCATATTATGCTTACCTTCCACCTCAAGTTTTAAGTTGTCATCTTCATGAAATGACACTCCTGAAATCAGTCCAAGCAAATTTCTCTTATCTGAAACAAATATTTGAAATCATAAAAGAATTATCATTATGTTCAAGAAATTGGTGCTTTCTAATTTTTCTAATGCTAAACATGTCAATAGTATAGTTATATAGGAAGGAATTGACCTCCAAAAGCATAATCAATTGTTGAGGCCACTTTTGATCAATTATAGATATAAGATAAAACCAGCTGTTAGAGCACATGAAAACAAAGGTAATCAGTCCTCAGTTTTAATATGACAATTGAAACCAATAGTCATTGATTCTGTAAACATATTTTTAAGAAGAAATGGTGAACGCTTTAATTGATTATGTGATTTGGTTATCGGTAATTGACTGGCAGCCCACAAAATATCCATAAACTAATTATTTGTTTGATCAGTGCACCACTAATTAACAGCTCTGGACAGTTTGTAAATATTTACTTAAAGAAATTACCATACTAACATTTTGAAACAATGCTTACCTTCTACAGGTTCTTTATTGTGTGGGAACAAAGTGGAAAAGTTAGTGTCTTTAGGCTTAAACAAGATTTACATGATGTTAATTCAAGTTTGTTTGAACAGTGTAACTTACATTAGCAAACTTAAGAATTTTTGTTTACAAAATTTGTATTTCATGTGCACAAGTTTTGTCAGACAATTTACAATGCTTAACTTAACTTTTGAAGAAAAAAAAAGAAGAAAAGAAAAAAAACATTAGGATTTGAACCTGAATGTCTGATAACAGAAAAAAAAATTGAGAGGCCATCACTGTAACCACTAGGCTACAGATTCTACAGTTACTATTTGTCACTTTAAGCTTATATATTACACTTTGCAACAATGTGTCACTTGACGTCTGCTTGCTTTTCATAATCTGCTAGACCTTGATACAATGTTCTTATTCTAACAATATTAAATGTAGCCTGATATATCCTAGAAAACATCAAGGTACATTATTTTTGTTAAAATGTGTATGTTTATACACAGTTACATCCAGTGGAATGCCAGTGTTATTTGACAGTGACAGGTGACACAGAGGGGTTTGCTAAACAGATGATAGAACAAATATGATAAAATTCTAGCATAATTACAAAGATTCTCACCTTTAGAATGCTGCCTGATCATATTTTGAAAAAATCTTCTGATGTCTTCTTATTTTTCCAGCAGTGATCAACAGGGTCTCCAAAAACTACCCTTGTTTACCTCAAAGTAATCAGCCTTGAGAGTCCCTTACGATATTGAAGTTTTTTAATAAACATGTTTGATAAGTTCATTTTAGTGCTCTAAAACATTCAAAATAGTAATGAATCATGGTATAGTTGTGTAAATGTGACGGATAGTTTTCAGAGATATTACATTACGCCAATGTTTATTTTTGAGATGTTGTATGGGGCAATTTCATACAACAGAAAAAATGTACTTTTTTAAACATTTTGATATGAGCAAAAGCGTGACCCACCACAATATTTTAGGAGTGCATTCTAATTTACTCTCTTCATGTGTGGTGAAAAAATTGGAATGGGTCAAGCTTTTTCTCACACTTTTTTATCACTCTGAAAATATGAAAATGCAGGTTTTTCGAAGATATTGTAAAATAGGTTAACTTTGAGGTCTTCAAAGAAGAAAAAAACAGCACTAAAACATACAAAAAAAACATATGGAGGTAATTTCAACAATTTATTTAGCATTTTTTATGCTAAAATGTCAATGTTCCAGAGGGACAATCTAACAACCGAAAATCACATAAATGCTGGTGGAGTATTTATTACACCATATTCTGGCTGTAGGTGATATGAAGCTCTTCACACTTTCACGTAGAGCCACGTATTGAAAAACAGAAATTCCAATATTTTATGACCGATTCAGTTACTTCTCACAGCCGTGATGAGCATCATGTTGAGGTAAAATGTAAACGAATTTTGAAGCTACCTGCCAGGGAGATGGTGATGTATACTTATATCTGTAAATTCTTCAGGGTGTCCGTCAGTACACCTACAGGTCCATGCGAGAATACACTCAGGGTATATTGTCCGGTACACGTCGACATGTATTGTATCATACCTTGTCAAGGCAAGGGGGCGGTGGGGTAGCCTAATGGTCAAAGCGTTGGCTCGTCACGCCGAAGACCCGGGTTCGATTCCCCACATGGGCACAATGTGTGAAGCCAATTTCTGGTGTCCCCCGCCGTGATGTTGCTGGAATATTGCTAAAAGCGGCGTAAAACCAAACTCAGTCAGTCAGTCAGTGTCAAGGCAAGGTTAGTACAGAGAAGCAGGCTCTTACTGGTGTGACCAGAGACCATATAATAGAGGGACGGCCCTCGAGCCAATGCGCAAAACCATCAGCGCTACGGCTTGTACTGCGCAGCCTATCCGGAAGCTATTATATGGTCTCTGGTATGACGTTTTCGAAAACTTTTCCTCAAAGGTATCCAAATGTATTTGATAACAGTTACTACCTTCAGAACACGGTATGGGGTGCTTTTAGGCAGGATGGAGGCCTGTGTGAACAAACATTACGTCTATGACAATCCCGTATTTTAAAAATGTTTCTCAAAGAAACCCGAAACAGCAATTATTGCAGAAGACAGTTTTAACAATACACAACACAGTGGACAGAAGAGAGTAAAGAACACGCGGAAAAAATACCCAACACGAACGATAACATGACTTAATATACAAACACTAAGTAGAACCCTGAATATGTTTAGCGATAACAGCGTGGTTAATGGCAGAAGCTTCCAGACCTAACTGAGACCACTGTCCACGGTATTCAGGGTCAACGAGCTGCTCAGCGGTGGAGCCAGGTTTGTGTACCGGGACCGTCACAACAACTTCTCCAATGACGTCGACCCGAGCAAGATAACGGTGACGCCGGACGGGAAGACAGCGTACATTGGTCTGCAGGTATCCAAGGTCACGCATGAAGCATGATTGTAAGGCAGCTGAAGGGTGATTGTGTTCAAGGCTTATCTTTCAATGTGTTAGTGGTTGCATGTACTTGGTGATTGTGTTCAAGGCTTATCTTTCAATGTGTTAGTGGTTGCATGTACTTGGTGATTGTGTTCAAGGCTTATCTTTCAATGTGTTAGTGGTTGCATGTACTTGCCTGACCTATGGGCGATGTTATTGTTCTGGCCCACTGAGATACCATGCCGCAGTTTCACATGGATAGCCTACTCAGACACAGTATATCGACACCCAGTCTTATATGAAACAGTAAGAACCTGTAAGAACCATATGTTAACGTCCTGGGCCTTCTTTCCCAAAACATTTATGTGATCGTAAGTCATTAAGGAAACCTTAGGGCAATGTTAAAGAATGGAGTTAAGGTTAACCTTAGTAAAGTTTGCTTCGTGAAAAGAGCCCCTGGTATGACGTAACAGTGAATCGAACCACAGACTTTTCTCTCTCCGGGCATGGAACCCCTTACACCATGGTGACTGGTTAGTGAACGCAGGAGGTTCAGTGCCGAGCAATACTGTTTCTGTAGTGTGCTACTATCATCTCCTTGAGATGTTATACTTACTCAGCATTTTCCGAGCCGCATGCAGTGATCTTTCTATCATGATAGGAGACCAATCGACTTCGAGCAACGTTACACGCAATCGGAGAAGAATCAGTCAGTATGATCTAAAACTGTCACATCCAGATCCTTATCTGAGGAAGCTAATAAAGTATTGTTGATTTGATATCCATTCCGACCGGAATCCTGGAATTAGTTTGGTTGGAATGACAAACTTGTGATTGTTTTTCCGAGTGATATATACATATACATACGTCGGAGGACTCGGAGGCGAAGTTACCATTTAGCTATTCTTGACAAAATACCTACCTCTTTGAAGTAATAACTTGTAAAGAAGTTATGAAAGCAGTACATCTGTAACCATGTGTTGTGTTGTAGCGCACTAACGCCGTGGCAGTGTTGGATGTCAGGTCCGGCAACATCGTCAGTATCCGTGGTCTCGGACTAAAGACCTGGAGGAACCTGTTTATGGACGCGTCAGACCAAGACGGGGGTGGGTACCGAGAACTGGCTAACTGGAGACATTATTTGGGACATTATAGCAGGACACACTGCTGGCATACACCCACAGTGAACGTCGCTGTCGGTCGGGACGTCGGTCAAATACATCAGTCATATTGAAATTCATCAGTCATATCTACTAATTAATATTACATAGTGTGTAAGGTAAATACATTAAGATATGTAAATTTGTGAAATATAAGTTGAACCTGAGAAACGCGATGTGATCATGTGGTAATATTTAAGGTATCAACATGAGGGAGTGGCCTATCTATAGCTACTACCTCCCTGACGGTATTGAGTACATGACTCACAACGGCAACAACTACATCGTCACAGCCAACGAGGGCGACGATTACGACTACAGCGATATGATATCATGGAAAGAGGAAATGAGAGGGAGAGAATTTGTTGAAAGTAAGATCTAGCTTTCATATTTCTTTGTAGGATCAATCATATATATTCATGGTGTATGCTTTACATTTATATTTACAACTTGAAGGAAACATGGTTAATCAGACTACTATCGTCACGGTTTGTATATGTGGTTGGTTGTTGTGTGACGTCGCTCTCGGCAGTTTCCAAGTTAATGACGGCGGTCTGTAACTAATCGGGTATGCGCCAGACAATCCAGTGATGGACGTCATGAGCGCCAATCTGTGTAGTTTGGATACGATTTCAAGCATGACTTAAATGATCGCGTCAGACCCGTCAGTTGCCCCGTACGACAAACACTGGTTGTTGAAGACCAATTCTAACCCGAATTCTGTAGGGAAGAAGGGTCAGGACCACCAACAGACAAGCGCCATGAATCATAACAATTGTAGGCAGAGTCCAGTATATCGTGTTTGCCGTGCGTGACAAGAAGACATCTTTCTGCTGCTGAGCCTACATAGATCAGATATAATAGTTTAGGCATGCGTCAACCTGATCATAGACCTGAATTGTCTCTTCCAACGCCACTTCTGTTCACAAACTAATTCATGTTTCATTGTATATCCCTTTTTTCTCAACTGAATATCGACTTTCTTTTATCATCCAAAACTGTGTTCCGCAGGAGATATTGCTTGTGTGAAATCAGACGATATCTCCTAGGAGATGTCATTTGGACAGTAGATTTTGTACAATGCCCTGACAATGCCATGACGTCATGAACATGATGGCGTAAAAACGCTAGGACATAGCTGCACTGCAAGTCTAATGACAGTAATGTGTTCAGTTATGTACACTTTTCATTGAAAACTGATGAAGAGTGATATTTGATGATAAAAAGAATCTCACCCTCGTGTCTTCTGATATGAAATATATCAACACTCGTTGATAAAAGGAAAAAATTGTTACTTTATCAACTCGTGGTGATATATTTGATATCAAAGGACACTCGGGTGAGATTCTCTATATCTCAGACTGTATCCTGGTTTCAGAGAACATGACAGCTGACAATCTGAGCGAAGAGATGAAGACATGGCTGGCCAGCGATACAATGCTAGGTAACTGGATTATGTATTCTCCGAGAACCAGGAAACCATTGCATGTGGACTTCCGAGACTGAAGCTTTCATAGAATTTATCTAGGATGTTGAGGAAAACACCATATCATGTCCAAATAAGAGATGTTATAGTTGTTTTTATCTGTAGTGCTTTTCAGATTACAGTAATACAAAACTAAACATTGAAATACTCTCTCTTTATTATTCTTTGTTTATTGTCACAGCTTACCTCTGTAAGTTATATTGGTACTAATGGGTTATGTGGGATAACATGCGACCAAGTATGCCAAGTTTGGTTACAAATATACCGAAGACTCTGAAAGTTTGGGTGTTATTAAGTTGACTTGTGCTAGTTGTTACATGAAAAGGGATTTTATCACTTTGATTTTGAAACAATTAATGACATTTGTCTGTAGATGCCAACCTTTTTATTATGTTATAATGTTTCTGTATCCATCCGTATTCCGTTGTCAAGCAGGAGTGAAGTACTCCATAACGATGTTGATTTGGAGATTTCACGTGTGCTTTCCGACTTGATGTGCATTTCGCACACGGGCCCTCCAGGCCATTCAGTGTTTGATCGGGAAAAGGCGATTAAGACAACGATTGGGCAACCTGAAGCACTCGGGCACGTACTTAAAATCGGAACAGACTTATATACATCCAATGAACAAACACAACATAAGGGAGTGAGTGAGTTTAGTATACGCCGCACTCAGCAATATTCCAGCTATATGGCGGCGGTCTGTAAATAATCGAGTCTGGACCAGACAATCCAGTAATCAACAGCATGAGCATCGACCTGCGCAATTGGGAATCGATGACATGTGTCAACCAAGCCAGCGAGTCTGACCACCCGATCGCCTCTTACGCCAAGCATGGGTTACTGAAAGTTCATTCTAACCCGGACCTTCACGGGTCAACATAAGGGCGTGCATGGAAGGAAGTTCCAACAGCAATGGAAGTTGGTGATTAATTAAGCAGCAGGTGTCTGTGAAGCTGTGAAACAATTTACAAAGTTGATAAGAAAATTTAATTAATTGATTCATTGTAGGCTAGATGAGGTAGCTTTAGTCTCTCTTGGTTGAAGGCTTGTTTCAGCGTACATGAAATAATGCTCTTGTAAGTTTGTTTGTTGTTTTAAAACTGTCTTTCTTTTTTGTGATGCCATGGTTTATGGATGCATTGATTTTAGATTTGTAAATCGTTCCACATGATGTGGTAAGGGCAGTTGATGATGTGTTCGGGGAGTGTACGTTCTTTGCCATCCACCTTGCAACCCTTTCTCAATTTGTTGTTTCGTTTGAAGATACCTTTATAATCATGTTGCTGCTGCCGAGGCATGTCTGTTTAGGCCACCTATTCTTTTGGGACATCAAGACATTTAGTAAGAACAGTCATGGAGGTTGTTTGATGGTATTTGTGTACATGAACTCGTAGGTAGGGCAGTTAGAGTCTGAGTAGGCTGATTTTCGGTCAAATTTGGATTTAGGTTTTTACCGTATTGAAAGCAAGGAAAGACCTCAAAACAACAAGGCAGTGTCTACAAAATCAGTTTTGACTGCAGCAACACATATATGGGCGAAACCGTCCGTCCATAAACGTCACAATAAGAGACACCCAAAATCTATCGCCATATCAAACCTGTTCCGTCATGTGTACCAAACTACAGCCCTCGTCACTTGTTTAATACTGTCGCTTTGTCTGTGTTGTTCAGGGAGATTGACGTTTACGACTCAGAACGGAGAAAGCAGTGTCACTACAGGCTACAGCAAGTTTGTCATGTTGGGTAGTCGCAGTTTCTCCATCTGGAACGTCACATCCATGAAGCAAGTGTACGACAGCGGGGACGACATCGAGATGAGACACGCCTATCTCTATCCCGACCTCTTCAACGGGGATGTGAATGGCACCAATACACCCACACAGGACGCAGACAAGACGTCGCCGGGGAGGGTAGTAGTAGTAGTAGTAGTAGTAATAGTAATAGTAATAGTAATAGTAGTAGTAGTAGTAGTAGTAGTAGTAGTAGTAGTAGTAGTAGTAGTAATAGTAATAGTAGTAGTAGTAGTAGTAGCAGTAGTAGTAGTAGTAGTAGTAGAAGCAGTAGTAGTAGTAGTAGTAGTAATAGTAATAGTAGTAGTAGTAGTGAAGTAGTAGTAGTGAGTATCAGTAGTAGTAGTAGTAGTAGTAGTAGTGGCAGTGGTAGTAGTAGTGGTAGTAGAGCAGCAGTGAGTAGTAGTAATGTAGTAGTAGTGAGTGGTAGCAGTAGTAGTGGTGGTAGTGGTGGCAGTAGTGTAGTGGTAGTGGTAGTGGTGACAACAGTGGTAGCAGTGGTAGTAGTAGTGGTAGTGGTGGTGGTGAGTAGTAGTAGTGGTAGTAGTAGTAGTGGTGGTGGTAGTAGTGGTAGTGGTAGTAGTGGTAGTGGTAATGGTAGTAGGTAGTGGTAGTGGTAGTAGTGGTGGTAGTGGTAGTGGTAGTAGTGGTGGTAGTAATAGTGGTAGTGGTAGTGGTGGTAATAGTAGTAGTAGTGTGGTAGTGAGTGGGGTTAGTGAGTAATGGTAATAGTGTAGTAGTGGTAGTGAGTAGTAGTAGGTAATGGTAGTGGTAGTGAGTGGTGGTGTGGTAGTAGTAGTGTAGTGTGCAGTGAGTAGTAGTGGTAGTGGTAGTAGTAGTGGTAATAGTGGTGTAATGCAGTAGTGGTAGTAGTGAGTAGTAGTAGTAGTGGTAGTGATGAGTAATGAGTAATAGTAGTAGTAGTAGTGGCAGTAGTGGTAGTAGTAGTGTAGTAGTAGTAGTGGTAGTAGTAGTGAGTAGTAGTGGTAATAGTAGTGAGTAGTGAGTAGTGGCAGTGAGTAGTGAGTAGTAGTAGTGAGTAGTGGTAGTAGTGCAGTAGTAGCAGCAGTAGGTAGTAGTAGTAGGAGGAAGAGAGGAGAGGAGTATTTGTAGGAGCATCATCAGTATTCATAATTATACAATACTGGTACCAAACCTTAATTCTATTCTATTTAGTAGTAGTAGTAGTAACAGAAGTAGTAGTAGTAGTAGTAGTATTAGTAGTAGTAGTAGTAGTAGTAGTAGTAGTAGTTGTTGTTGTTGTTGTTATTGCAGTAGTAGTACATATAATAACAATGCTGCTCTTCTGGCAGGGTCCTCAGCCAGAAAGCGTGTCAGTTGGTGCCATTGACAGACTCACGCTGATCTTCATTGGTAACGAGTCTCCGGGAACCGTCAATGTCTACTCCATCCTGGAAGGAATAAGGCCACGGTTCGAGTGTATATGGGCCGGGGTGAGAAACACTTCTCTGACCTGGAGCAGTATGTTTACCAGCGAGGACATGCGGGGCGTGGCCCCAGAACATATCATGTGAGTCTCTGGCAGTGCCCAAAACTATTTTGGAAGGCTCGGTGACATGCATGTTTCAGGAATATCATCACGCTGCTGAAATATACAAAACGGTCAAAAAACAGAACAAACCTATGAAAATCAACACTTAGATGAAATGCAAGCAATCCATTGTAATTTACTAAATATTTATGCGTTGCTGTTTTGTGCTACACCAAAACGTTGCTGCCTCATATTGGCAGATTTCTATTAGATTACTTGTTAAGATGGTCAGCTTAAAATGCAACTAAAATCAAACTGATATATTTGTCTACACTTTTAAGGTTTAGGACAAAAAAGGTATGATTTGTTGTTACAATTTGTTAAAGGTAAAGCTGCCCCAGAATTAAACTAAATAATTTCATACGAACAGGTTTTTGGGTGACACCTGGGCCCTTATTCTCGAAACGATCGTAGCCCTAAGATTTCGTAACTTTGATCTTAGCCAACGTGTTAATAATAGGCTTAAGAAGTTCGTAGGGCTACGAACGTTCCGAGAATAGCTAGCCTGGCTTTTATAAACTTTGACTAATTATTGTCATAATGGTTCCGTTTTTATTTTTCGTAAAATCAACATGTTTTCTAAACGAAACACAACACGTATCAACAAACCTACAGCCGTTGAGTTTTACACATTATATGAGCTTCATATCAGTGTATGAAATAAGGCCCGTCCGACCGCCCGATTACGGGCTAGATTTACAGCTAGCCAGCCCGATGGACTGGTAAAAAATTTAGATAACATGTTTAAGATATCCAATTAATTCACCATATCTTAAAATCTAGTGTGGTCTGGTTAAATCCATTTGGGGCTGGAAACATTTTGAAGTTACCAGCCCTGGTGTCTGGCGGTTTTTTAGCATATTTCATACACTGATTCATAGTATCACTATAGTCCGTTTGTCTCAAACTCGGACCGATGAACTTCAATCTAACTCGAAAACTACTAAACATATAATACTCAATGAAACACTGATCATAATCAAAACATCAGACCAACTCTGTGATGCTTTTGCAGAATTTATGTCCTAAAATTAAAAAAGTTGTTTGACAAACTGTCATTAAGATAGTTGACACAGTTCGCTATTTGTTACGAGGGAGGGGTGCAAAGAGAGGAACAGCCAAGTCTTCTGCAAAAAAGTCACAAAGTTGGTCTGATGTTTTGATTATGATCAGAGTTTCAATGTGTAACATATGTTTAGTAGTTTTCGAGTTCGATTGCAATTCATCGGTCCGCTTTTGAGCCAAACGGACTATATCCGTTGATGAATAAACACACTGGAAACATTCCTCACAAATAATTGGGGTGCACATATATGTTTTAATTCAGGTGGAGTTTATATGTACATGTACTTTCATACATGCCTCGCATTTCAGATTCCTGCCAAAGGACAAAAGTCCTACAGGAAAGGAGGCAGTTATTGTGATGGGTACGAAGTCGGGTTCCGTGACGCTGTTGAACGTGGTACTTACAGGTAAAGGTCAACGTCATATATTGAGCACGCAGTGTTTTGGGGTGGGTTTTATAGCAGATGGAGTGTCCTTCAGTATTGAACTTTCATTAATACATCGATAATTGCCCACCTGTTATGTTGGAAAATGAAAACGTAATATACAAACGCTAACCTGAAACACACATCCCCAAATATAGTTACATACGTAAAATTTAGAAATGATGTATCAAAATATTGTAAGTGATGATCAGACATTCCAGTGGTGTTTGTTCAACTGTGTTCAATCCCTCATGGAACTATTGCATGCGATTCCTTGGCATTCGATTGGCTGACCAAACTATTAGTTTTTAGCTAATGTTGCTAAAAGCCGAAAACAATGAAGCCACGCCTAATACAAGCCACTGTTTCATGACTGGCTGGTAACAGAATGGGTGGACTTGTGAGGCATGATTGACGTGAAAAATATTAATGATTTGGCTTTGCATTCTTCGTGTCAATCTTTAAATAAGCACTCGTTCAGGTTGCAAGCGTTGACGTGTTTGTTTATTAGACTGACTGACTGAGTTTGGTTTTTACACCGCTTTTAGCAATATTCCAGCAACATCACGGTGGGGGACACCAGAAATGGGCTTCACACATTGTCCCCATGTGGGGATTCGAATCCGGCTCTTCGGCGTGACGAGCCAACGCTTTAACCATTAGGCTACCCCACCGCCCTTTGTTTATTAGAATGCACTTAGATATGTTTGTGTGTTTATGTAGTTATAGAACTCAAGTGTTGGGTGAAGGTTATGTTATAAACGATTGTTGCATGCGTATTTTCAGGCTTCATATTGTTTTAACATAACCAACAATGGAGTAAACATGTTTGTATTTTAACGCCGTACTCTGCAAAGCACATATGCGCACTATGTGGGAATGTATATATCAGTAAATATATGTTCCACAAACGTTTTAGGAAAATTACCATTTTTGTTGTAGGAACGGTACCTCCAGCTAGTCAGGCCAGTGGTAAGTTGACACTGTGAGCGCGTGGCTGTGAGTGTAGAAGATTCCATATGTCGGAAGTACATGTACGTGTGTGTGCGCGTGTGTGTGACTGTAGTAGAATGTAGTCTTGTTGTTGGATTCTCATCTCAGTTAATCAAGGCACGCTCAAGAAACGTGGCTTATCTAAATTGCATATTTCCAAAAACGACCACATTTACAACATGAAGCAAACACATTAAAGCTTCATACGTTTGTGTCTACGTATATGATATTAAAAAACAATTATTATACAAAATGTCACTAAAATGTAGCTTATTCAACTAACCACACAATTATGTGATACATGACTTCCCATTCCTGTTTTCCAGGCCTCCAGACGAGCCTCCTGCTGCTGTCTGGCATCCTCATCCTACACGAAGTCATGAAGATGCGTTTCTGAACATGTTAATGGATGCTTCCATACCCCGGATTATTTCTGTATTACCCGATCACACTACCACTGGAGGTTGTAGCGCCATATCACACTACCACTGGAGGTTGTAGCGTCATATCACACTACCACTGGAGGTTGTAGCGCCATATCTCACTACCACTGGAGGTTGTAGCGTCATATGACACTACCACTGGAGGTTGTAGCGCCATATGACACTACCACTGGAGGTTGTAGCGTCATATCACACTACCACTGGAGGTTGTAGCGCCATATCTCACTACCACTGGAGGTTGTAGCGTCATATGACACAACCACTGGAGGTTGTAGCGTCATATCACACTACCACTGGAGGTTGTAGCGTCTACCACTGGAGGTTGTAGCGCCATATCACACTACCACTGGAGGTTGTAGCGTCATATCACACTACCACTGGAGGTTGTAGCGTCATATCACACTACCACTGGAGGTTATGGCGTCATATCACACTACCACTGGAGGTTGTAGCGCCATATCTCACTACCACTGGAGGTTGTAGCGTCATATGACACTACCACTGGAGGTTGTAGCGTCATATCACACTACCACTGGAGGTTATGGCGTCATATCACACTACCACTGGAGGTTGTAGCGTCATATCACACTACCACTGGAGGTTGTAGCGCCATATCTCACTACCACTGGAGGTTGTAGCGTCATATGACACTACCACTGGAGGTTGTAGCGTCATATCACACTACCACTGGAGGTTATGGCGTCATATCTCACTACCACTGGAGGTTGTAGCGCCATATGACACTCTACCACTGGAGGTTGTAGCGTCATATCACACTACCACTGGAGGTTGTAGCGCCATATCACACTACCACTGGAGGTTGTAGCGCCATATCACACTACCACTGGAGGTTCTAGCGTCGTATTACACTACCACTTGGGGATATAACGTCATATCACACTACCACTGGAGGTTGTAGCATCATATCTCACTACCACTTAAGTACATAATCATATCACACTACCACTTTAGGACGTAGCGTCATATCCCTCTACCACTTGAGGTTGTAGCATGATATCACACGACCTCACCATTTGAGGTTGTAGCGTCATATCACACTAGCGATGGAGGTTGTAGCACCATATCACACTACCAATGGTGGTTGTAGCGCCACAGCTGTATGACGTCACACAACATGACTCTGTCGGGTGTAGTTCCCAGTTTCACAACGAGTGAGGATGCTTTATGAAGGCGAGAGCCTGATGCGCATCTGTATATCATTCACCCCATGTACCCGCCCACAGTGGTAGTCGTAGGTGTGTTATTTAAGAAATACAGTTCGCTCTACCACCATGTATAGTGTAATAAAACACACTTTTACCCTGAACTATTATAGTTAAAGCACGAGGACGCTTGCGTCCGAGTGCTTTAACGTCATAATAGTTCAGGGAGAAAGTGTGTTTTATTACACTATACATGGTGGTAGAGCGAACTGTATTTCTTTTCTAAGATGCCAAATTTAATACTTTCTAAGGATAATTACGATTAATTTAAGGCAGAAAACAAACGGCGGTGTTGGTGACCTAAATTAAGAATCCTCGCACAGGGCTAACTGGCGCGCTGTTCTATTGATGTGTCTGCCCCCTACGTTAAGACGAACGTTACCAGAAAAACAAATGATAAACAGTTTCATGACGGTTTACGTTCGGATTAAATATCTTCTCTAAAGTATTTTAATTACATCTGTGATTAACGGAAACCATGTGAACGTCGTATTTCTACTACCAACGTATGTTTAGATCAGTACATCCAGACGAAGCTGAATAGTCTAGCGACATTCCACGATTGCATTGTGGGAATGTAAACATTGCGAACGTTACCGTGTCGCTGAAAACTTGCGAGTCGAATTGAGACATTTAAAACGTCAGAAAACATAAACGTAATGTTTCCACCAGTGATGTTAGGTGAGTGAAGCAACTGCAAACCAAGAAACGGGATGCAACGCAGTAGTGTAGGAGGCTGTACGAGGCGATGACAACTGACATGCATCGTGACGTCGCTTACACTGTGACGCAATGTAAAATGGTTCGATTACTAGAGGGCACACTAGAATGGCGCAGTGACGGGATAGCGTCATTCAATTGTTACGTCATCAAAAAACTATACCTTTATTGTCTGATAATGTATTTTTTTTCCGATTGTTCTAAGCGCTAAGCATCTTAGAAATGAAGATAGAAGTATCATCTGCTAACAGAGTAATGATGTGATACCTGACCTCACAGAGAATAAATTATTTTGTATCAGATGAACGGCGTTTCTTTTTTTGTGTATATGGAAAACAACGTATTTCAGGGAGTTTACTAGTGAGAGGCCCATCTGAATTATAGACGAAGAAGAAGAAGTAGTAAATCTAGAAGAAGACGAACTGTGTGTTACCAAACAGATCCGACATTGTCATAGTAGGTGTAGATGTAGCTGACAATGTACGCAGTCGTTACTTAATTCCAATGAGTTCAATGACTTCCAACGAAAACATGGATGAGTTGAAAATACATCCTTCGCAAGCTGGAATTAAAATTAAACACGCCAGGTGCGTTAAGATTGTGAGAACTTCTCCCTGTCCTACACGTGTGTGTATGCAAACAGTACCAACAACGCTTGTATCGGCTGTATTTGACATAGGACAGGAGGGCTAACAACAGGTGTACGCCATGAACACACACTGCCATTTAGAAGGTGGTCAACTGTAGCATATGTTATATTTGGGATTACGCTTTCTCAGTGAAGTACAGATTCTGGTACTATTGTTTGGTTTGTCGTGTTTGGATCAACAACGCATAAAGACTGTAGGACATGAGAGAGAACGTCAACTCTCCAATACTCAACCTTCTCTTTACGATTAAATATATCATGACACTTCCAGCCTATTTCACAATTTTAGGTACAATAGGTCACGTTCTTTGTACGTAGATTCCACAAGAGTGTCTTTCAAGTTGTTTGATCACTGCTTGTATCATATATTTGTTTTTACAGATGATTGACTGACCTGCCTTTGCATGTGTTTGTGTCGTGTTTAGCAGGGGGCAGTGGGGCAGGATATGCCCACCTTTTGGGCAACCCCTGGTATCTTAAGTACTGTGATTCAAAGACACATGACGCTGTGTTAAACAGAGTTATGTTATGAATATTAAAAGAGTTTCCCAACTATATACTAGCCACATAAAGAAACTGTGCATTGTCAAAATATTATCCAAGTTGATAAGTACGATAACAATGTCAAAGGTACATATAACTTGTAATGGAGGGATCATGAGACCATAACAAGTCGGGAGAATTTCAATTGAAAAGTCAATCACAATGACGTCACGAGTCCACAAGCAGGACAGGGGTCAAACGGTCGATCCATCTCGTCCCAAACATGCTCTATTGGGGAGAGATCCGGTGAATTTGCAGGCCAGGCAGTACGTCAACATTGTGGTGTTGCAAGAAATCCATAGCAACCCTTGCCGTATGAGGGCGGGCATTGTCCTGTTGGAATGTTAACCCAGGGCCATGACGTTGCAGAAAAGGAATTGCCACAGGTCGAAGAATCTGATCCCTGTAGCCCACACCAGTTAAGTTGCCCTGAACAATCACCAAAGGAGTTCTTTGGTGTGCTGTTATTCCACCCCAAATCATCACGGAGCCACCACCAAAGCGATTCTTCTCCAAGACACAGGCCTGTGCATAACGTTCTCACACACGTCTATAGGCACGTTGACGTCCATCACTATGGGATATGTTCAGCCTGGACTCATCTGTAAAAACAACATTTCTCCACCAAAACAAGGGTCTGCGGACATGATTTCGGTACCACATTCGGCGAGCTTGTCGATGACGTTGTGTCAGGATAGGCCGTCTGATCCCGTGATGACGTAAACGTTGTCGAACTGTGTTGGGGTGGATACGGCGAAGTCCTGGGATGGTTCGGGCAGTCATCACTGCAGTCTGAAACCTGTGGCGAAGATGGGTCACCCATATCCATATGTCCTGTCTTCGCGTTGTTACACGTGGACGTCCAGAACGTGGCCGATCGATGACGTCATTTGTGTTTTGGTAGCGTCTCACCAGTGCAGAAATGGTGTTCCGGTAGCAGTGGAAATGTGCAGCCACTTGTCCCAATTGCTTCATGACGTTCTGCAGACGTGAGCCTGGCATTATATGCGTTTCAATAACCGTTTAATTTTTTGAACGATCGCAAGGGCAGGGGTTGAGCTTTCCAAAGTGACAGTATTGTGTGGCATTCATTTGCTCTGTTTCTCTTTCCCGGAATGCACGTGCAACAACGTATTGCACGTCTCAAGGTCGAATCCACTGACTTCATGGATCGTGGCACGTGCATGCATGTTGGATTCATGTCACTAATCTCTGAGATTAAATCCTTATGTGTCTACACAGGTTTGATAAATTTAGATTTTAAATTTTTGTATGCACAGTTTCTTTATGTGCCTAGTATATATTTACGTCGAGGTAAATGTTAACAAAACTGCATCTGTGGACGATGTGTGTTGAAATCAAATGAGAATAAAAGAAAACCAGTTTAATTTCATTTTAGTTGTATTTTGGGCTACCAGACAGGAACAGAGCTGTTTGTGTGTGTTTGTCGGGTATCTGTACGGCGGACTCTCGACATGAACAGGGCATTGGTAAGCGTATCTGTTGACAAGGACCTGTAAAGATACAGCTCCGTGTACTTCTGACGTATGTATGCATGTAGATTTACAAATATTTGACCAACACAAATTTGCTTTGGTCAGTGGTTCAGGAGGTCCAGGGGGACAAGACATATCTGTGTCACAACTGTTCGATTACCGGAGGAAAATATTTACGGATAATTTCTTTCGTACATTTGTGAAAAACAACATTTTAATGAAATCTCCCGGTTTGAAATGTTCGTCCACAAAGCGTTAAAATGAATAGCGTGTTCATCCACTTTCGGGTTTTGGATATAGGCGGAGAGGCCTTGAGTCAACTTACTATTTACTTCGTATGTGTTGACAAATGTAGATGGTAGGGCTAGTGGTATTTGTTCTGTAACTAAAACGATACTTTGTGTTTACAAACGACACACAGATATAACACATATATATATATATACACTGAATCTATGTTAGTGTTCAACATTCACCCACAGAATGAAGATGACTCGTCTTGGCCTCGTTTTTCTCTCGTTAGCGGCTCTGGTTGACACAGCAGATAGTTCAAGTTTACAAGCAAGGTCCAAACGAGGTGAGAGAGGAGTTCAATGGATGATATGAATGATGAAATACACTACGCACCTGATATTTGTGAGAATTTTCAAAGGTTCCATGAATAAGTTTGCATGACGAGCAGCCTTTGTTGTTTACATTTACAATTTTTGGGGACAATGGAACATTCTAATTTTACCAAAAATTTCAAGGAATGTCATACCACTCTTGCTCAGAAGTTGTCCGATCGAGGTTACACCATTCAAGCCTCAGTAAAGCGTTCAAAAGGTTTTGTGGTAGGTCTGTGGAGGACATTTCCCATTTGATCCATCAGTCATAGTAATGATTCCCTATTTTTATAAAGTTAATAAACTAAATATTTGTATAGCGCCTATTCCAACATATTGCTCAAAGACGCTTTGGCGAAGGCTATGTTGAACTAGTTGGTTTTCAGTTGTTTAAACTGGTCGAGATTGACGATTTTGACGTGTACTATATGATCCCGAATATTTCAGGTGAGAATTGATTTTGCATATGCTTACGACGGGTGCCACCAGTGGGGCAGGATACGCTCTCCTTTTCGCGAACACTTGGTATCATCAATATTTCTTGTGATTCATAGACACATGCTCTGTCATCGTATCGCATGGTGACAATCACCGGATTGTCTTGTCTAGACTTGAGTGTACAGCTGTAATACTGCTGAAACAAATACGTACTCAGAATATAGTCAGAATTGTACAATCAAATCGAGATCTCTTGGGAAGTGTTTAGTCGCTTCTATTTCTTCACCATTTGTTAATATCCGTCGAATAATCTGAAAGCCATCTCCTTATAACCATAGCGGGGTGGTGGGGTAGCTATGGGATTCAGTTCGGGCCCAAAGTCTTCGGTTCAATTCCACACATTAGTTGCATTTGTGAGGCCCCTTACCGATGCCCCAATATTGCACAAACATTGCCAACAGCGACGTAAAACCATTCTCATTTCCTCATTACCTTTATTGTTACACATTATATATTGTCTATATAATTGTCACCGGCAACAGTGTTCCTCATCGACGTATCCTAAGCATCATCCATGGCAACTGTTTCTCCAGTATCTGTCCAAACTGAGACGTTTTTGGTTTGTTATCTTTAGGACTTCGTTGCTGAAAGTTTTCAGTTTCAAAATTCGCTGACCCTGTCCCCTGTTCCTGGAACCAGTACACGTGTCATTAGTCCTGATTATAATTTATAGCCGAACAGCACCACACTCGTAGTCGTCAACGCCTGTAACCACTTCCGTCGTCATGTGGATATCTGTGTTAATCACTCAGTCTTTCTGACTGGCTGTCTCTCGCACACACATATGTCTTATTTCATGCACTCCTTCAATGGATGACATATTTAAAGGTTAAAGCTGAGTGAACTAACTCATCTCTATTCTTAGGAATACATTACGGTGTCACACAGTCCTGCGGTCTCGACCTTTGGAATCAAGGTCAACTTGCGAGATCGCTCGAGTGTGCCTTCTGTATTCTTTACCATTCAGTTGGTATTTCAGCGGCAATACAGCTGGGTAACAGTTCTCCCTCCTCGTACTGCCAGAGTCTGTTAGACATTGCGGACACTGTGCCAGACATCAACCAAGCCCCACTACTACAGATACTCATCAGCGGGGAATGTCCAAACATCGTCTTCGCGCCCGACGTAGCAACAACGACCCGGAAACCAACGACAACGTCAGCGGCAACAACTACAACGTCAACGACAACGACAGCAACAACTACAACAACAGCGAAACCTTCGACGAGTAAGCAGACAGTGATCTGAGCTTTGATTGGCCCACAGGATATTGCCAAACTCTTGTTGGTGTCAAATTGATGTTTCTGATGATATACTGAAAGAAACAAATAAAGGATGACAGGAAAATTTGAATAGCGCTGTGGTAATGAAAACTGGAAAATAATAAAGGAACGCTTGAATTTTCATGTGATCCTTTATTTGTTTCTCTCAGTATATATTCATTTATTTGATAGTCAATTCGGTAGATACATTTCTATAACTAAATCAACAGCAACGTGCACCAAGTATTGTGATACGCCGCTATTGTGTAGTGCAAACTTTGTCGCGGGTGTCCCAAGTAGATCGGGACAGGCTTACCCTTGTACGACCACCTGGTGTCATCACTGATATATACAGTGATACAGACACAAACTTGTCATCACTTGTCGTCACTTTTTACGCCCAGCAGATCACCTTTCGGCAGATACATTTGGTTGAGTGTTGACAAGTGAGAACAATCATCACTTGCCGATATTTGTTATATTCAGGGAATTTGGTACTGGCAGACTAAACCCCATCACTTCAAAGATGAGAATGTTACCTTTATCCAAGTATATTTTCCTTTAAAATCAGGGGAAAGTTTTTTTAACATTGTTCAAAATGATAAGACCTGTTCTTAACTTTGATCATGCCCGTTTGTAAAAACAATCTCTGCGTGGTTGATTTTGTGCAAAACTAATTGGGTTCAATGAGGACTTTATTAAGAGATACATTTGTAAGCACATAGCACTACCATGTTTGAAATATTATCTCCTGGGTACCGTTGCACAAAGCAACCTTAACGCTTCGCCAGTCGTAAGTTTATGTTTAGGTTGGGAGTTACGATCACCTGGGCTCTAAGATCGCTTTGTACTACGACACACTGGTGCCGAAAGATGCAAATCTATTGATATTTCAGCAATCTGGGTTTAATGTACAGTTTTTAAATCAATTTGAATTTTAAAATTATAACTCTTTAGAAGTCTTCTTTTAGTTTAGATTAAATGCAAGTACATTTCTTCTATTAAATACTGTTTACGTAATGTCGGTTTACAATTAAAAAACACAACCTTTGAGTGCTTTATTGTCCTTTGTTACTCGCTTTATGATTTTTCACTTCAGTGTTTCTAAGGGACAAAAATAAATATTTACCACTTTTGCTAAGTCATTGTTAAATGTTCTTTACGTACACTTACATAAATTTACCACGGTTAATGCTGCAGGTGTACACTTTCAGGAGCATGTGGCACTGTCTCCGAAGCCGCCTCGGCTCTGAGAGTCATCAACGGACAGAGAGTGGCTGTCGGAGAATACAAGTTCCTGGTAACGCTCCTTAAAAACGACCAGGTTGTGTGTACCGCCACAATCATAGACCCAAGCCACGTCATGACGGCAGCTCACTGCACTATGTACGTCTAGATCGAGAGGTTGACATGAGTTACAGTACTTAGTACTGAGTGTAGCACATTTGATACATCACAAACTACAGACAAAAGTATAAACAGACTTTTTTTTATAAAAAGAATCAGAAGAACGAAAATAATTATATTTACTATATTTTGATCGTGTGGTTGAGAAGTGCGTTCGTGACTTTATTCAATGTCTTTAAATTTTGCAGTTGTGTGGAGTGAGATGAGGGCGGGGTGTTGCGTGGGGATGTTATTACTTATGTACATATATTTTGAGCTGTCTGTTTTCACTTATATATACATACCATGGTCTAGCCCCCTGACGATGACTAGTTAAATAATCGTTGACCCGTAAAGATCCGGGTTAGAATGAATCTTCAGTAACCCATGCTTGGCGTAAGAGGCGACTAACGGGATCGGGTGGTCATGCTCGCTGACTTAGTAGACACATGTCATTGGTTCCCAATTGCGCAGACCGATGCTCATGCTGTTGATCACTGGGTTGTCTGGTCCAGACTCGATTATTTAGAGACTACCGCTATATAGCTTGAATATTGCTGAGTGCGGTGTAAAACTAAACTCACTCACTCACTTAAATAATCGTTGACTACATGTACCTTCTTACTTGTCATCACTCAAATGTAGTCAGCACCGGATATCACGGTGTAAGTCAACCATCACAGATGCTAATTGGCGATGGAATTAAATCTCTGGAAAAAAACTCATTTCCAATTTACTTTTGGCGGATTTTCTAATTTGTTTACTAAACGTTTGCAAGAATACACAACACAGAAAAACAGGAGGACATAGTTATTGTCACTGTCCAACTCAATTCAGTTCCCAAACAAACGCGAAGTTATCTTTGAGAATTTTAAGAGGTCAATGTAACGTGCAATAAAAAGGTACTAAATGGAAACAGTTCAATTTGTCAGAGACAGAGTGAAGTAGTGTATACTGTTTCTTGCAGCAGCATTCTTTTAGCTCATTGTTGGATTTAAGGACACATGGTGATGATTACATATCAAAATGAATTTTCGGTTTTTTTAAAAATCATATTTATAAGCCAGGAATGGCCTCCAGCATTGTGCCAAACGTGTTTCTAAAATATTGACTTTATTTTATTTGCAGTGTCTACCGCTGTCTTATGAGTTGTTGGACGATAATTTGTGGCATAGTGAAATGAGAATTGATAAATTCGTAAATAATTGCAGGAATTGTGGCACGAAAATATAATAGAATTGTTGTAAACAATTTGACACAATGCTAAATGGGCCTCCGTTCACTGAAGGGAGACAGAAAACGAGTGCGACCTGTACATTATCAACTCTAGGATCGCAATTTGTTATCATACAAGGTTACCCGTGTACCTTCTGTGACTGAAAAAAGTCATATACAAACCTGTACATATGGCATCTGTTATTACATATTCTTAACATCTTATATTGGGAATACATCAGCTTAACCCAATGTACATCCACAAATTGGCGTTTTCAGAGGCTTGAAGGCACGACAACTTTCGGTTGGCATAGCCGAGCATGATATTACCAAGAATGACGGCGAAAAGATCATCAAGGTCAAGACCTTAACCCAGCACCCTAGGTACAACGATGACCAACTAGGTATGTTCAACACAATAACAGTCAGTAAAACAACACGGCACCACAGCTCACTACTACGACAACACTGTTGGAGTGAATGAGTGACTTTAGTTTTACGCCGCACTGAGCAGTATTCCAGCTATATGGCGGCGGTCTGTAAATAATCGGGTCTGGACCAGACAATCCGGTGATCAACAGCATGAGAATCAATCTGCGCAATTGAGAACCGATGGCATGTGTCAACCAAGTCAGCGAGCCTGACCACCCGATCCTGTTAGTCGCATCTTACGACAAGCATGCATTGGTTACTGAAGATCAATGTTCTAACCCGGACCTTCACGGGTCCAACACTGTTGGAAACACAAATAAGCATTATGTACGAGAAGGAGAAAGATATGTGTTATGTGTGTTGTGTAATGTGTGTTGTGCGTTGTATGTTATGTATGTTATGTGTGTCATGTGTGTTATGTTCGTGTGCACACAGCATCACAGCAAGTCTATTTCAAACTAGGGTAACGTGCGCACCACAGTGCACTTTCTGGAGCGGTCAAGTCAGGACCTTCAAGTACCAAGGACTGTTAAAGACGATTCAAAGATGTCCCAAGAGGGATTCTGATTCTGTTTAAGACAAAATATCTTGCGTACTGAAAACTACACGAAACCGTTGGTGTACAGATGAAATAATGAGGACATAATTTGACAATTTTAGGCATCCGTGAAAAATAAACCCGTGAGTCAGCTTTTGTTTGTATTTAGGCCTTTTGAGTGAAAGTATTTAGAAGGGAAAATATGTTTATCACATGCAACGGGAATGAAATCTTGTCTTAACATTGTATTAAAGCGCTTATGAACTCAAGTGTGACATGTCTGTGGGTCATTGTAACCCTGTAGTATGGAAGGTGCGCTCAGTACTCACCATTGGTTTTAGGCTGCGGTTTAAACATCATTCGTTCATAAGGTTTGCGTTTTGAAACCTACGTCGAGTTATTAATAGTCTGGTAAACTGTAAACTGGTTCTTCCTTCAGTGAACGACATCAGTGTCCTGACACTGGCGGAGCCCATCACCGGTGTCAAGAACGCCGAGCCGGTGTGTCTTCCAGTCAACGGCCAGTGCGGGAACCTCAAAGGAAGGAAGTGTGTTGTGGCGGGGTGGGGAGCCACCTCGCAGCAGGGCGGGTTCAGTACGTAGCTGTCATGTGACATGACGTTATGACGTTATACCTATGATATGTTACACTGTGGGGTATCCAAATTAGAAGGTGTCCTCATCAACGTACATTGATCTATCCATTCAGTCACACATGGAATATGATTGCAAGTTCTAGCGGGAAACAGTAAATTTTCTTTATATAATGTACTATACCTTTGTTAATAATTATAATAACAACGTAAGATTTAGTGAACAGTTAAATCAATGTTTAATCAGGAAAATTTCATGAATGAAACTTAAGCACGGTAACAATCAAGGGCGTGGCACACGTCTGCAGAGGTGTGGTATCAGAACACAATTCACAAAGTCAGTAACGTGTGTGACCCCCCGTTAGCATCGATGCAAGCTACACAACGGCGACGCATGGAAGACACAAGATGGTTGAAAAACGCTTGAGTAATATTGTTTCAAATGTTCACCAAAGAATCATTCACCCAATTCATCAAGCTGCAACGGCTGGTTTGGTTGTTGACGTAAACGTCGCTCCATTTCATCCCAGACATGTTCTATGTTCTATGGGCGAAAGGTCTGGCGAAACTGCCGGCCATGGCAGAACATCAATGTTCTGGTGCCTGAAATGGTCTGTGACGACACGTGCAACGTGTGGACGGGCATTCTCATGCTGGAAGGTAACAGGTCCATGGTTCAGCACGAAGGGCACAACGTGACGTTCAATAATTTCGTTTCGGTAACGTAAACCATCAGATTGCCATTGACAATAACGACTTCCGTTCGTCCACGGTGTGAGAGGCTCCCCCCACAACATTACACTCTCACCTCCAAATGAACGACGTTGGGTGATGCACACGTCGGCGTAACGTTCCCCATCACGTATGTAAACCCTAGCTCGCCCATCTGAACTGTCAAGGTGAAATCGAGACTCATCTGTGAACAGGACAGTTCCCGTCACGTTGTGTGAACCTTAGATGTTGTCTGCACCATGCTAGACGTGCTTGACGGTGACGTGGAAGCGAAACGGAACGTATCGCAGGTCGTCCGGGTCGAATGTTGTGCTCTCTTAGACGGTTTCTTACAGTCCAACCACAAATGGGTCTCAAACTAGGAATCGTTCAAACTGTCAAAGTTGCAGGTTGAAAGCGATTCCTTAGATGTCTTGAACAAGGCGGATTTGGTTATCATGCCAACGTGACGTGACGTGTGGACGACCTGACAGACGTAAGTCGCGAGTGTTGCCATTTTGCTGGTAACGTATCCAAAGAGACGATATGGTGTTCCGATGAACATTAAAATGTCTAGCAACTTCAATCTGGGGCATTCCAGTCTGCAGCATACCGACGGCACGTAGACGTTTATTTTCAGACAGACGGGGCATAATGTTTTGCCGTGTCAACAGAACCAATAATGTGTTTTTCTTATCACCAGAAGTCTACACAAACGATAAGTGCTCTTTTGGGCTGAAAAACACGTGTGACAAAATCACAATTGAGTTTAAAATGCAAAACACGAAACTTGCAACGTCACACGAAACGCACGTGCAACATGCGCATTTCATTCAGACAATGACAAAAGTGCGTTTGGTTATATTCTTCTGCGATAGTTTTTTCAAAAATGTTTTGGAATAAACATTTTACGATATTTTATATGAAGCACAGTTACTTTTTTCCATTAGTATATAACAGTACAGATAGTTATTACGGTGAGGTATTTGATGGAAAACATTATGACGTAATGGCATTTACACAGTCGGCTAAAGAACTCATATCCTTGGTTGCTTCAATACGACGACAACGATCAATCAAACTGGTGCGGTGAGAAGAACGTTTTCAGATTATGATGATTTCGTAAGCTAGGGTGAACGTTATGTCGATGTTGCAGCAATTGTTAACGGTATGTCGATGTTGCAGCAATTGTTAACGGTATGATGATGTCATGGGCTACTGTTAACCTTATGAAGAGCATGCAGTTAACGTAGTAAGGAGGTAATAGGAAACATACGTACGTGAATTGTTCGTTAAGTACAAATAAATATGTAAGGTGAATAAAAGAAAGTCTCCATGAAAAATGAATGAGTATGGTTTTACGCCGCTTTTAGCAATATGCCAGCGATATCACGGCGGGGGACACCAGAAATGGGCTTCACACATTGTGCCCATGTGGGGAATCGAACCTGGGTCATCGGCGTGATGAGCGAACGCTTTAACCACTAGGCTACCCCACCGCCCCTCTCAATGAAAAAAAACATGCATGTATGTTCGTTATTTGCTACCAGATACGTATCCAGACTTCCCCTTCGACGCAAGTATCGAGGCTTATGATGGGAGGTCGTGCCCCCACAGATATTCATCACCCAGTAACAAGAAGACTCAGATCTGTGCAGCTGGGGACTCCGACACCTGTCAAGTGAGTACAGCTGATGATGATGACAGTAACCGCCTCAGTGGCCTTGTGGACATACATATACAATCTGTAACACATCTGGCCATATATGGATTGCTGCAGTAAGCTTAGGATACTTTAAATGAGTTTTGGGTGACAGAGAGCATATTCTAATAAAAAGAATGTTTTTGCACTTGTTGAAAATGGACGGAAAGAAATTAATCTACTGACTTGAAAAATCTTCAATAGGACATTTTGTAACATTTGTAAACATTTATCCGAATTTATTACCCAATTTCAGAACCTCAAACGATTACCTTTCAGTTGAAAGAGGACGATGGAGTAAAATACACCCAAGTGAAAGATTATGCTCTCTTTGTAATTCAAACGCTATAGGAGATAAATTTCACTTTCTGTTCATTTGCCCTACCTTGGTCCTGGAAAGGAAAATAGTATATCAACAAGGTTAATTTCGGCTCCATTTCTATTTTGAAACAATATCCAGTTGCACATAACCCTTAACACAGTAAATCTGCTTATTGATAAAATGTTCTTCGCATATGTGGCTGAAATTACAAATATGAAACTAACATATCACTTTATTTCGCAATAAATATTCTGACTGATTATCATTATTATAACAGGGTGATTCCGGCGGTCCGTTGTTCTGTCAGTTCGGCGGTAGATGGGTTCAGTGTGGCATTACGTCATACGGGGCAGCGACATGTAATGTCAAGAACACACAAGCCATCTACACAAAAGTACCTGCTTACGACGCGTGGATTAAGTCAGCTCTTGTAAAATGAAGACTCGGGCAACTGTAGCGTCATTCAATAAAGATAGAGCCGTTGTACATTGTTCTTTTTTTGTTCAACCATTTGTGGTTTTATTATTATTTTATTTACTGTTTATTTATTGTTATTTTTAATCAGTATTATATTTATTTCGATTTTCAATTCAACAATTGTTCATTGTTCCTATTTGGTCAACTATTTCTGGACCAATTCATTACAGATTGACTTCAATTTTATATTTTGTATTAGTTTTTTATTCGTTTATTGTGCTATAACGTTGAACCAGTACGCACGTTTTGATGTTTCTATATTTTGTTGACTTTTTCACTGTGTGTACATAGTATGAACCAGATGAGGAAAATACTCTGGTTCCGTATGAACATATCGAGGGTTGTTTGAGATTTTGTAATGTCACTTTCAGTCATGGGCTTCGTTTAATGACAGTCTTGTTACGTATTTAGACATGCTATGCCACTGCAAACAAATGTAGATTTACAAGCTTATAAATGTCTTGTAAAGATGATATTTACAAGACATTTATAATATCGGAAAGGTGAGATTTACAATTTTGTAAAAGATGGATTTGCATGACATATACAATTTTGCAAATATTGGCAAAGGGAGATAATTAGTATGTAACGTTATATGATTTTATTGCATGGGCTACGTGTTGTTTTTACTTCCTGCTTGAGTGACGTGTGACATAACTGAAATTTGTCAGTGAATAAAACTACATTGTCTTAGCGGGATGGCGTACTCTCGCTGCAATTATTTCCTGTACAGTGATGATGTGGCTGGTACCTTTCCTAGCAAAGCATGGAGGTCGCAATTTATGGTCCAATGCACATAGCAGATTAGTAGACAATGGTAACTGCACTGGGGACGACATGGTTAGGTGACATGGTTAGGTCAGTTAGGTGACTGACTCTGAGGGTGTGAGTTCGAATCCCGGATGTGACTCAACCCAACAAAAGTACTAGAATCTGTACTTTACTACGAAAGTGTAATCCCAAATATAACATATAGTGTAAACATATTTTATTCAAAATAAATTGAACTAGGATTGGTAAACAAGCCGTAATGGCTTATTTGAATACCTCTCCATTTCATTGATACATGAATAAAACAAATATTAAATAATATGCAGCATGATAGGAAAGCAAGCAACCTGCGTATTAAACATTATTAATCATTTATCAAACCTATGCGATTTTATTATAAAAGTATGGACACATTGTAGTATGAAAGAATTTACAAGTTCATTTTTTGTTTGGATTTCCATTTAGGACAGAATTTAAATTATATCCATGTTCGTAAAAAATACATGCGATGTCTGATGTTAGAATAATTAGGACAAGTAAAGAAGTAATGTAAAGTATCCTCATAGGGGCGACCACAGGAATAGAATGGATCAACTGAAATGTGCCGTTCAAACATATAATATAACATATGTTATTAGTAGGTCTCAGCTTAATATTGTCCACACAGTCAAAAGGAGATGACTGTGCATTTATTGTGTAACGTACACAAGGAAATATAATCATACAAATGTCGCAAATGCAGATTATTAACTGCCTTTGAGACAGATTTGTAAATGTATTCCACTAAACTAGCCCTATTAAGTCCCGGCAACAGTTCTTCTTTATGACATGTAATAACCCTGTTCAGTCAGCCAGCGCAACCTTCATGTATTACTTGTAAAGTGTCTGTACGTAATTTGTATCTATACGAAAAGTGACTGGAAAGAATAGACACAGTTGTGTACTCAAAACTATATTTTGGAACCTAGCCATACTAATGGTACATATAACTTACCGTAGTCAATATCATTTCGAAACATAGAACAAG